AAATGAGCTTACACGCAAGGCAGTATATCAGTTTTCAAAGCTAGTTCGTCCTAGTAACAACACACCTCTTTGAGCATTGTTTTAACTACGTAGTAAGAAAGAAGAAACACAGGAAGAATATGGAATAGAACTAGAACGAAAAGTAACGAAGTAACCCAAAGTACAGACTCAAAGTAACCTGTCGTGTATGAAACAGGGAAAGTGTGTTCAGAGGTTTACCTGGCGACGAAGACAAAGAACAAAGAACTTGATACAAAGCCTCGAACTCATGTTCATTAGGGTAGTTTGGGAGACGTTTGACATATCGTTGGCATTCCGTGATATTCAGCAGAGCAGTTAACGCCATTCATCGAATATACAACAGACCAGAAATCAAAATAGAATCAAGGTTTTTGTGAGCGTGACTTTTTCGGTGATCAAAAAGCGCACTTGGTGATAATCATTTTCTGATATACATGGATAAGAAACTCAACCATATAATTGAGGGAATGTTTTAAGAACGGAAAATAGAAGTATAGTAAAGGCCGCGACACGAAATAATGGATGTGTCTTCCATCGGCTGGTTCTATCTCGCCATCTTCGCTGTACTAACGACCACGTATTTGGTTCTTGTCCTTGGCTTGGTTTTCAAGTTCAAGTATGAGTATGTTAGGCTCAGTAACTTGGTGTAGGGACTGCGGGTAAATATGATAGGCGTGTGGTTACTGTTTTTATTCATTTTATTTATCTTATTTATTTATTTGTGTATGTGTGTGTGTCTGAATGCATACGCTTCCAGTGTGTGTGTGTGTGTGTGTGTGTGTGTGTGTGTGTGTGTGTGTGTGTGTGTGTGTGTGTGTGTGTGTGTGTGTGTGTGTGTGTGTGTGTGTGTGTGTGTGTGTGTGTGTGTGTGTGTGTGTGTGTGTGTCCCCGCGCGTCTGTTTAAAGATAATGCATTAAACTTGTAAAGAAAGAAAAACTGTGTAATGAAAATATTTGACCAGGTTATAAAATTCCGGCGTTCTGGTAAACATTCTCACGAAATTCTTACTCTGCAGAGAGGCCGATTGGAAGATGTTGTAGTAAATAACGAATATAGAGGCAAACAACTTGGAAAACTGTAAGTATAATTTTTATATCTCTCCCTCCCCCCCTCCCCCCCTCTTCTTCCCTTCTCTCTCTCTCTTCTCAGTGTTTGTATTTCTCTGTCTCTGTCCCTCTTTCCCTCTCTTTTTCTGTCTGTCTCTGTCTCTTCCCCTTTAACTCTCTCTTTTGCTGTTTCCATCTCTTTCTTTTGATATCTCTTTTACTCTTTCTCTCAATATATACTGTATATGTGTAAGAAAGTTTGACATGAATACCAGATTATATCAGACCAATGTCATATACCAAGTTTTTATTTAGTTCCTTTTGTTTTATATATATATTATTGATTTTTATTTCATTTGATTCATTATTAATCTTTAATTGACACTTATTATCCAATTCCTTCATTTGTTATGTTTTTTCTCTCTCTCTCTTGTTTTCTTTGCTAGAAATACTTGTTTTAGTAATGTTATGGGTAATGTAACTTTCATAACTTAAGGTAATTATCCTTTTGGTTGAACAGCTTTGCTATATTTAATCAGTTGAATATTTACCTTTATAAAGGTGTTAGCATTACATATAAAGGTAAATGCATAGTATGCATACTCATGAGTATGTGAATATTCAATGTACTGATTTAGCCAAGGTTTCATGACTTTTCTTTATAATTAACCGTTCTCAGCTTCATAATAAGCTTATTTATATTTAGAATGTAGATATGCTGCACACTTTGAAATTACATATACATATTGGTTCATGTTTTCTAATGACATGTGATCAAGGAAAGAACTTTAGGGTTAAAAGTAGTGAAGTGAATATAATAATAACTATTTATCCACAGCAGGATTCTTACTTTTTTTGTGAAAGAAAATGAAATAGAAGAAAATGAGAGAATGAAACTTTTCTTATTGGTTAGAGATTTTATCTACCTTGCAAGTTTAGATTTTATTGAAAGATCATATACATAGATATAGATGTGTACTTGTGCATGAGAAGTTAATAATAAAAGAGTAGTAACAAAAACAAATCATAGTTGAAACAGGAGTTTTGTAGTGTTCATTGTAGGCAAATAATTTTTTTTTTTTTTTCAATAATGCCCACAGGATTGTATCAACGGTCACTCTCTTGGCTAATCAAGTTGGCTGCTACAAGATGGGGCTCGATTGCAAGGACGAAATGAAGCCTTTCTACGGCAGCATTGGATACACAAGCGAAAAGGGAAATGACAACACTATGATTATTCGATTTTGACTACAGCCCAAAACTGAGAAGTCACATTTGTAAGATAATGCTTGTTTAGATAAATAAATAAATATATATATATATTCATATATAAGTATATATATGAATATGTGAAATATATATATATATATATATATATGTGAAATTATATATATATATATATATATATATATATATATATATATATATATATATATATATATATATATATATTAATATAGGAGTTGATGCACTGAATGATAAATGAGGTTTATTTCCTGAAGCACAGGCATGATGGATGGAATGGACAAGAACTAGAATATCCTGTTCTATACAAGGTTGTGATTGCCATTATCTTTTTTTTTCTATAAACGTTGAGTAATAAGAAAAGACATTCAAAAGATAAAGATAAAAGTCTCCACAATAAACTTGATGAAGGGAAATTAAGTCTACTACTAAGTTTATAAGCAATTATTAACAATATGGAATTTAGGGGATGTATTCATATTTGTGAATAATATGGCATTCCTTTGTAACAGGGTTGTACTTACTGTATATTGAACACTAAACATTGTGGTGATATTATGGCTGTTGCACAAATTTATATTCTATTATGGTTTATAGTGATTAAGAGAAGATATAGAAAAAATAATTGCTTTAACAACTGTGCAGTTATGATTTAGGTGCAAAAGAAAGGTAGTTAGACAGATTATCATGGTGTTATATAATTAGCTACCTCCTTTGGATTTATGTTGTAGTCATTGTACATGGATTCTATGTTTAGTGTAATCATAATCTCATATTTAGTTCAGTGGGTTTTATTATTTAGTATATGTTGCATTTTCCCCAAACATACTTCATTTTAATGTATATTGATTTGAGAGAATTGTAGTTGAAAATGGTCGCTGTTGAATGTGGTGTTATTGCATTTTTATATGATCTAAAAAAAAGTATGGGATTTCAACGTTATTATTCAGTAGGTATTGGGTTGTGATAAGGATATAGGGATTTTTATTCGTTATTTTTTATTTTTGTTAAAAAGACAATGGAGGCACACACACATATTACACATGACTTTATCTTCAAGATTTTAACTTGCTCACCTATTAAAGGTTGTTGATATATTTGTGATATTTGCATAATGCCTGACCTTAAGAGATAACTTTATGGTAGCTAGGTGTTTGCAAGAATGGTTGTCTATTTTTATCTTAGTGAAAGTTATCTATTGATGTGAATAACCTATTATGCCTTTAGAACGGTACTGTGCTTGCAGACTTTTCTTCGAGGATCAGTATTATGCCAGTTGTTATGGGAGTGTAAAGAAAAAGGTCTAGAAAAAAATTATCATCAGTAGTATTTTAATCTATATACATTTTAATAATTAAGAATCAGTTTTACATTATAAATGAGATTGATTATGTCATTTAATACTGTTCATTTATCCAGAAGACCAAGTATCATCTCGCAAAGAAGAAACCAAGTTGTAAATTTTTAGTAACAAGACATTATATGTAAAGTGCCTATTCTGATTATTCACTTTATTAGCTTCTCTCCGTCCATGAAGGGAATGGCAGTGAAATTTAATCATCAACGAGCCTGAAAGTAGATGAATAAGTTTATGCGATTTAATAAATGCAGTTATTTGGCCTGGCAAACCCACTTCACTGTATTAAAAAAAAAAAGAAAAGTCTAAAACCAACTGAACATTATGTGAATTTTCTTTCCTTTGGTAGGAGTATATTTCTTAAATAATGGAGCCACAGATGTACACTTATTAGTTATTTGCCATCAATTACAGAAGATAATTCATACAGTAAGCATTTGATACTCTACTTGGTTTGTATAATAAATTCAAATAAATTATAATAGATACTGTTGTTGAATTAGATGGTTGAAATAGGGAAAAAACACACACACACACACACACACACACACACACACACACACACACACACACACACACACACACACACACACACACACACACACACACACACACACACACACACACACACACACACACACACACACACACACACATATATCTGAACATCTGTTTGATTGCTTCTCATCCTAGAATAATATACGGAGTGTGGAGGGATACAGGTATTTTTGAAATGGTAAAGTGTATAAAAGCAGCTAGATTATTATTTCTCCTTAATGATTTAGTCTTCATATTGAAAGACCAGTTGTTTTTTGTTGGGAGTGACAGTAGACTGTGAATAAAGGTATTTAGTTAGATAATAGATAGTCATGAATTAATCTTTCATTGTTCATATCATTGACGTTTTCCTTTTGTACTTGTTCTTTTTTTCTTCATTATCATAACTTTTCAGGTGTATATTTGTATAAACTTGTTTATAATTACTTTCATGACATTTGTTGATTGAGTTATATTAATGACAATACAGTGAATCCATAAAATATGCAAAAATGAATTGAATTTTATTTTATCCTTTACTGTAATGTACAGTATCTTAAACTATTGTAATAAAAGTCTAAGAGATTGTGTGTGTGTGCGTGTGCGTATGCGTGTGTGCGTGTGTGTGTGCGTGTGCATACACACACACATATAATATATATACTATATATAAATTATATATATATATACATATATATACACTATATACGTACTATATATGTATATGGTGTATGTATGTATATGTGATATATATGTGTGTGTGTGTGTGGTAAAACACACTTTGCTGTTACTATGGCAGAAAAAACAAATCCATGACTCCTCTTAAAAACTCTTCACACCCTTTCAACTGCAGGCTGTCTTTTGCCAGGTGAACACCGTCACACCTTGTCCACGCTAGCTCTGCCTCTACCTCGAAAATAGTATATATGCTGTTCCTTGTGCCTCCTGTGACAAGCAGTACTTTGTCTCAACGTAAATATGCTTTATCCAGGGGAGACAAGAACACCCTTTTCTGTCATCAGCGGGACATATGCATCAGATTGATTGATGAGTTGCGCTAATTGTCTTCGCTTCCGCTGATGCCCACGCCCACAGACTAGTGGAATGATCATTAATAAGTTTCCCACACCCTTGCGTTAGTCCTGTCAAAAACACCATGTATAGAGGCTTTAAAATTGGTTTCAAATAAATGCAGAATTGGTATGATCAAATGTATATTATTCTAACATAATATCTGCAAACATAGAAAATGCATTTACATTTCTCTTCTTAAGTGGTATGAAAAAGGTACAGTACTAGTACAGCAGCTTGCTCTCATTCTTCTATCTCTCTCTCTATGGTGGTGGTTGGTGGTAGTAATAGTGATGATGATGGAGATGGTGGTGGTGTTGGTGATCATAATGGTGATAGTGGTGATGGTCATAATGGTGATAGTGGTGGTGGTCATAATGGTGATAGTGGTGGTGGTCATCTTGGTGATAGTGGTGGTGATCATAATGGTGATAGTGGTGGTGGTCATAATGGTGATAGTGGTGGTGGTCATAATGGTGATAGTGGTGGTGATCATAATGGTGATAGTGGTGGTGATCATAATGGTGATAGTGGTGGTGGTCATAATGGTGATAGTGGTGGTGATGGAGATAGTGATGGTGAACTTAATGGTGATAGTGGTGGTGGTGGTAGATAATGATAGCAACAACAATAATTGTAATGATAATGATAATAAAGTTAACTTTAATATATTTGTAATAGTTGGTTTGCAAATACGATTCTTATCGCAGTACTTGTGCGTTGTAGTTTTGCATAATTTATTTTGCATAAAAATACATATAAATAACAGGTGTAAACAAATATCTATACTTTTTTTGAGGCAATAGTACAATTATAGGTTTATTAAGAATAAATAACTACCTTGCAGCTACTAATCTTCACAATCATAGGCTTATTAAGAAAAAATAACTACCTTGAAGCTACTAATCTTCACAATCATAGACTTATTCCAGACCTTAATTACTAATCTTCATAATCATAGGCGTATCCTTAAAACTTTTAACATTTCCACTTTCTTCTACATAGTAATCTTCATAACACATTTTTAACTTGTGCTCAGTAACTAATTTTCTTCATAGTCATGAGTTTATCCTCTAAAAATAAAATAACCGTTTCACTTGCTTGCTCCTACTAATCTTGCTCATAACTTTGGGCTTATTCTCAAAATTTCATGTTTCCTCTTTCTGTCACTTACTTTCCTTTATAATGATTGGCATTTCCTCAAAACTTCACATTTTCACTTTCTCGCACTTACCAATCCTGTTCATAATTATAGACTTATTCCCTAAAAAATACAATTTCACTTTCTTGCATTTAACAGTCCTCTTCGTAATCATAAACTTATCCCCCCCCAAAAAAAAAAAAAATCACTATCTTGTATTTATTCGTCTTTTTTCACAACCATAAGACTGATTCTCAAACCTTCACCTTTTCACTTTCTTTCAGTTAAGTAAATGTCCTGCTTCCTCGGGACGTGGAACATTGGCTGGTTCGGATTGGGCGTGACATCCAAAAGAGTTCCTGGAGGCGACGAGATGTTGAAATTCTTGAACACGGCCGCGAAGAAAATGAGGGTTTCCATGCGTGCCAAGGACTCTCCCAGGCAGACGCGTTTACCTGTTGGGTTGGTGGATTGATTAAATTGGTAGAGAAGTTATGTCAGTATGTCGTGTTGTTATGAGGAAGGCCTAGGTTAATTTATATTATGGCAAGAAATCTCGCAGTAAGAATGAATTTGGACTCAGGATCCATCTCCCCTTACCGACGCCGAAGGGAAGGAAACCCTCTCTCTTGGTGCAGAATTTCCCATCCTTGTCTAGCCAGCGCTCAGGCAAAAACTTCTCAGGCTGGTCCCAGTATCTTGGATCGAAGTGGATAGACGCAGCTGCCGTGTTGATGATCGCGCCCTGGGGATGAGATTGACAGGATAGAACATGACCAAAAAGTGGTGGAAATTGATTTGGGAATATGTGACGGCGATGATGTGTAAGAATAGATTGGAGAAGAGAAATATTGCTTGGGAATATGGGATAGGGATGTGTGTTGTTGCAAAAGCTTTCAGAATTGTGTTGGTAAAATGGCGGTGGGAAATTAGGCATCTTGAAATCAATTTCCTTTCTGCATCGTGAGGTTTTCTGGCAATTATATATATCAAATATGCGTGGTCTATTTGCATACAAAGTTATTAAATATTTTGCTCTCTCTTATTAACCCCTTACCTCCTTGCAATAAAAAAATACGTT